ATATATATATATATATATATATGAAAGGGTACACAGTTCATTATTATTAGAATTTTATAATCCTATATTATATGTTAGCATTTTTTATTAATGTATCTTTTAATAATAAAATAAAAATAAAAGCATATATAAAAATAATTACTCAAAACTAATTAGTAGATATATAATAAAAAGGTATAAGCTAGTTTGCCTAACTTATAAAATGTGAACAAAATGTGTGTGGATATAATAGATATATAATAAAAAGAAATTAAATATCTTTAAAAAAGTGAAAAATAAAGAAAAGTGTTACATTTATATATAGTATAAATAATAATTATTTACCTTTTTATATTTTTTAAATGAAAACATAAGATACCTTTTCTCTCTTAGTATACATTAATTAGTAAAGGTATAGTTTTATTTATAATTTTTTTTCTACTTTTTAAAGACTATTTTATTTTTCTTCTTATATTTCTTCAAGAAATAAAAAATATATATATAACAATTAATTCTTTTAATTTTGATTATCATTTTTCAACTGCTCTCACAATTCACATAAAATAATTATCCAAAATCACTTTAATTCTTTAATTATTAATCACTTATTATTATTATTATTATTATTTTATTTATTAAATAAAATATATAAAGATACAGAATTTCTCTTATACGCTACAAGTAGTACGATAATTCAAATCTTTATTTCTCTTTGAAAACGTGTCTTGAATAAAAAAAATTTATTTGTTATAAATATATTTTAAATATTTAATTAGAACTACAATCATTTTTAAAGCTTTATTTTATAGTAATTTAACACTAAAAAAATAAAAAAAAAAATATATTAAATTTTATAAAAATCAAGATCAATATATTTATAATATAAACATGTTTTTAACATAGATATTTTTTTCAATCTCAAATTTTATACATATGATAATTTAAGTATATGTTAGATTATTTTATTAGGATATAATTATGAATTTTTAAAATATTTTTTTGTAAAAAAATATAGTATATATGTCATATAAATTTGTAAAATATTAGTGGGACAGCTGCTTTATTATCTTTCATATGAATCCATCATCCAGTATGATCCATAATGTTATTAAAATTTATAAATAAATCAGTGATTGACTCTATTTTTATAAGAAATTGTGCTTTATTTTGATCTAAATTTGTATTTAAAAAAAAACTCATACACTTTTGCTGCTAATTGAATTGAGTGACACTGTGTGTTTAAATATTAATTTAAAACCATATTAAAAAGTATATACATTCTCATAAAAAAAATAAAAAATGTGTAAGTATGACAATTTTTTTTAAGTCTCATTTAAATTCAAGTCAACTGAGTCTTCTCTGATTAATGCTCTGGGTTCGAAGAATTAAGGAAAGACTGAACCAGACACATGAAAAAATTGGAATTGTTTATATTTATTTGTCATTCCAACACAGTATTTATTCATAATTAAAAAGTAAAGCTGAGTTAACGTTAGAGAAAAGTAGCTTTCACTTTCCCTTTAACAATTTGCATCTGCATTAAAAGTATCTGGCACAAAAGATAAATAAAAACCAGTTAATTAACTATAACATTTGTAAAAATCACTATAATGCATCAACATCACAACAGTTGATAAATTCAGATCCCAACCGTTGGAGAGTTGTTCAGCTTCTTTTTCAAGCTAGCTAGCGTCCAAAGAATAAGAGACGAAAGGTTCAATCCATTTCCATTCAAAGGCTTTGGCTTTAATTTGGATTAACTACTCTTTCTTTCATCTGGTATGTATTGCCTTCTCACTAATTTAATTTTCCCTCCTCAGTTAGAAAACGCACTATAAGCTTAAGTTTTAACTCCGGTGTTTGATGCATACAATCTCGAATTTTCTTCTGAGCTAGATCAATGTGTTATAGTCTAATGTATGTATAGTAACTTAATGTATATTCTCTATATTATATATATATATATATATAATTAATAATATAATATATATATATTTACAACTCAATAAAATCTCTCAAAACACTCTTGCATATTATTATAAATATCAACGTATAAATAATAATTAAAATATCACAATAACTATTCAATTGTAATATTTTCATTATGAGCTGGATTATATTTTGATACTGATTGCCTTACATTTTCTTTTCTTTATCTTTTATCATTCTGGAAATAATGTTTCAGATATATATGAACCTACTACAATTGTATTTTTTTTTGTATATTTTATTCAATATTTTCGCATGATTGCTTCATAAATCAAGATCTAACATTATAACCAAAGTACATAGTGATTTAGAGAGCATATCATATATCTGATTAATTTGCTTCTCATTGTATTATGACTCAACTTATTAAGGTTGTCATCAGAAAAGAGGAATAGAAAAGCAGGTCAATCCGGTAGAAATTCTCAATTCTCATTTCAAATCTTGTTTAGGTAACTATTGTGCATTCTTTATGTCTTGTATTATCAACAAATTGGCGAGTTTATGCAGTAACGTGCCTAAATCTATGTACTCATGCTAATTAATTAAGACCAGAAGCACATTGAAGTGTCATAAACAATGTCAGAAAAACAAAGACAAGTAAAAAAGAAATCAATAGTATATTAAAGTTAACAATTGACAAATTTTTATAATGTTTGTAAGCACGTTAAATTGTCAAAAATTAATAATTAGTTTTTAATTCTCAATAATATCATTTACTTGTAAATGCAATTATTTATAGCATTTAAAATAGTAATAATAGATTATAAAAATATTAAAAGAGAAATTGTTTAATCTTATTAATATTTTGTATTGAAAGGTTGTTGTCTATTTTTTTTAGTAAATAATTACTACATTTTCACATTCATTTCGATAACAGATGATGATAAATGATAAGTTTATTACTTTTTATTTTTACCATTTGCAGGAAAAACTATCGATATTGATATTTGATATTATTATAAATTAATCTGTGTCAGGAGGAGTAGACATCCAGCAAATGGATTCTAGTTTGAGAGGGCCACATGTTTCTACCAAATGTGAAACATCATCAGAACAAGATTCATACCGAATGGGACAATCTGTAGATGTTGATTGGTTTTATCGAAGGAAGACGAAGTTGACAAGTTCAAATTTGATAAGGATAAGGGATTTTATGAGCCTCTTGTTGACTTATCCAATGAAATTAGAGGAGGAAGATATACTCAAATCATGGATTGCTGCATTTTCTGAACGAAAAGCTCACTTATTATCCTATGGTGAGGATGATATTGTGATGATAGACAAACCATGGCTTGAACTAACTGAGAAGGCATTCAGAAGCATGCAAGTATTTATGCCAATGCAAATAAGAATTTGGGAGGGATCCTTCCATCTTCTTGTAATGACAGAAGGCATCCTCCCCATGGCAGTTGATCTAGCAGTTGACCAGCTGATTCAAACTTTGTTTTCTAGAGATTGTTCTGCACGCTATATCAGACTGTTAACTAGAAACTTGGCTGAAAAAACATCTGTAGTGAACAAAGTAACAACAGCCTTGGAAGAGAAGGAAAACATGTTTGGAACTGATAAGGATTTTCTGAGAACCCTATGGATCGATGCCTCAACATATGGGACTCATGCAGAGGTTCGAGTTCAAGAAGAGATCAATACAATGATGTTAACATGCTTTTCTGTGACAGAAGACGATGACAAGTTGAGTGCTCAATACATTGAGGAAAAGATGGCAAGTAATAGGCATTTGGTGATTGTAGTCGATGCTAACAGCAACAAGCTGGACTTACAACAGGTGTATTTCCCTACTGGAATTGTGGTGTTGATAACCACTGAATTGCCAACACGGGCAAATAAGGATGATGACTTTAAGATTACATGCATGATGGATTTGAATATTAGGATCAAGGATCATCTGTTGCCTTGGGAAGTCTTTTGTCGCTATGTGAATTATAGCACGATATGTTCCTCATGGTTCATTCAGATAATTGCAGCGCAAATAGTTAAGGAATGCCATGGTCATCTTCTTGCCATTGTCCTTGTGGCAAATTACTTGAAACATATGAAACAAATTAGACAATGGGAACTTGCACTTGTCAAATTGAGCGCCCTGAATGTTTCCTATGATTATCAAGGTAGTGATAGAATTGGCATTAGTAGAGTCATGGTCAATGCATTCGAAAATATTATTTGGGAAGACATTAATCATACAGCAAAGCTTTGCCTTGAACGCATGTTGTTTGTTCACAACATTAAAATCGGAGTGCAAGATGACATCTTGGAGTCTACGCTTTCAAATTTATTAGGACATAGAAGAGGAGAGAGATTTGCACAGCCTCTCATCAAAATGTTTCTAGATCGTTTTGTCTTGTTGAACAATGCGAGTGGAGAAGTTTATGTGCCGATAGAAACCTATGATATAATAAAATCATTACACACCTCCAATCCCTCTATCATAAGTCACGGTGCATTAGGATTAACGGAGCCACCCTACATTGGACGATGGCATGGCCTTATTCGAATAGAACTGATGGACAATAAAATATGTGAGCTACCACAATCACCAGATTGCCCTAAACTCGAAGTGTTGTTGTTGCAGGGCAATGCTGATTTGTTGGATATTCCTGACTCATTTTTTGACCACATGCCTCTGCTACAGCACTTGGACTTATCCTACACCAGTATACGGGATTTGCCCCCATCTGTCTCCAAACTCACACAACTCAAGAAATTTTATCTTAGGGGTTGTGATCTCTTCATGGAACTACCCCCTCAAATTGGACAGTTAAAGAATCTCGTAGATTTTAATCTTGACGGGACTTTGATCACCCATTTGGCAGAAGAGATCAGAGAATTGATCAACTTGCAAAGCTTAACTCTCTGCTTTGATAGATACCATAATTTACTTGGTCATGGTAAAAAAAGCAAGCAAAATTCCAATTCAGCAATAATTCCTCCAGGAGTGATATCAAATCTTATTCAATTGAGTTATTTAAGCATCAATGTTGACCCTGAAGACGAGCGATGGAATGAGAATGTTATTAGTGTTTTGATGGAAATTTTTGGATCAGACACGTTGAAGACGGTGAATATATATGTCCCAAGGGCTGAACTTCTGGAACTCATTCCCTCCACAAGATTCCTCAATTTCAAATTGGTTGTTGGTCATCATGTGAAACGGTTCATATCGCGTGTAACACCTGAATTGGAGCAAAAATTCAAAAATTGTGACTATAGTATAAAGTTTGTTAATGGTGTAAATGTTCCAAATGGAGTGAAAATGAATCTTGGACATTTCAAGGCCTTGTACCTAGATCGACATATGACCATCAAAAGTCTATCTAATTTTGAGTTGAGGAATTTATCTGGGCTACAAGTATGCATATTGGCGGAATGTAATGAAATGGAAACAATTGTTGATGGGGGTTATTTACATGATGAGCATGCTCTTCCAAATTTGGAGTTTTTGAGTGTATTCTATATGAAAAATTTAAGAAGCATTTGTGAAAGCCCTGAACACTCCTTTCTCCACTTGAAATCTATAGCATTGCACACTTGCCCCATGTTAACTACCATCTTCACCTTAGAGTCTCTTTACAACCTTCCTTTATTGGAGGAGATTATTATTGAAGACTGTCCAAAAGTGACCACTCTTATAAGTCATGACTCACCAGAACAAAAAACAATGGCTTTCCTCCCCAGGTTGAGAATGATAACACTTCTCTACCTTCCTGAGTTGGTCAATATATTTAATGGTTTGCATGTTGAACAGGCTTTAGAAAAGATGGTATTTTATTATTGTCCAAAACTCCAAAGCCTTTCGAAATGGGAATTGTCAAGCAAATCCTTGAAGATTATCAAAGGAGAAAACAAGTGGTGGGAAGCATTGAAATGGAATGTAGCGGAGTGGGGGGATGCAGGTCGACCCATTTTTCTTGAACCAATTTTTTCTCCAATAAATGAAGAGGCTGACATATTAACCCAACTAGATGCACATCAAGGTTTCATGTATTTGGTAATTTTTACTTATCATCTTTCCAAATTTCATAATGTTGGTGGTAAGCAAATGATTATAATAAATAAGTAAAATTTCGTATCAACCATTCTTGATTGATCACGAATAAAAGTATATCACCGTTTAACTCTTGCTTCTTTTTTTTTTTTTTACTATGATCGTCCCTTCTTCTTAACATCTTTTTAATTTTGTTGCTTATTTCCATTTCAGCCAATTTCAAGTTCTGGACGGTTGATGGCAAAGTCATCTTTGAAAGAACCAGTTTTGTCACCTTTAGCCCCTCTTCCATTATTGAATAATTCAAAAGGTGAAGTCCAAAAGCAGAAAGCCGTTACTGCGTCAAACATGGACCAATCGGTATCAGTAAAGGTAATAAGGAGGTTTGAAATGCCTCATCACCATTCCTGATTCATTGCTTTTGGTTTCCTTACATGCACAACCTGGTTTGTGTAGGTTAATTGACCAATTTGGGATCATTATAAAAACATATTGCTTACTTCATTTCATAATGAACGTGGTTATAGATTTTTTACATATATTAAAAAAAAAGTTTAGAAACAAGTGAAAAAAATAATTTTATAAAATTAACTTTATGTTAATCTTCTTTAATGGAAACAATCCAATACAATAATCAATTTTTAAATAATATTATGAGGAATATGAATGAAAAATGATTAATGAATACTACATTAATGTGATCCATTTTTGGAAATATACTCTAATATTTTACTCTTTAGCAGAAAGTAGTGCTAAAGGTTGCCATACACGATGACAAAATTAAGAATAAAGCCATGAAGATGGTCGCCGGTCTTGTAGGTATGAATTTAAATTTCAACCTGCTTTCACTTTCTCTTATAATTTCTATATTTTTTTAATGCTCAAGAAATCAAATAAAAGGGATAAAAGGAAAAATCAAAGAGAGAAAAACCACATGTTATGTTCTTATGTAGCTAGTACCTAGAAACTTTGTTGTATGTAATATCTAAGATTGAATGATTTAAGGAGTGATTATTGTAGGGGTTGATTTAGTCTCTGTGGATATGAAGAGCCATAAATTCACCGTGATTGGAAACATAGAACCTCAGGTTGTATTGAAAAAGTTGAGGAAGTTGTGTCACGCTGAGATACTCTCTATTAGACCAACAAGGAAGAACAAGGGACATAATGATACTGATGAGATACTCTCTGATGAACCAGCAAGGAAGAAGAACAAGGGTCATATTGATATCGATGAGATACTCTCTGATGAACCAACAAGGAAAAAGAATAAGGGACATACTGATATCCATGAGATACTCTCTGATGAACCAGCAAGGAAGAAGAACAAGGGAACTGATATCCATGAGATACTCTCTGATTCTGATATCGATGAGATACTCTCTGATTCTGGTATCGATGAGATACTCTCTGATTCTGATATTGATGAGATACTCTCTGATTCTGATATCTATTAAATACTCTCTGCTGAAGCAATAAGCAAGAACAAGTGACATAGTGATCTCTCTCTCTTAGACTAGCAAGGAAAGACATACTCATAACATATTTAAATTAATAAAATAGAGTATTAAATAATTTTTTTTTTATTTTAAATTTTATCAACTTAATTTATATATTAAATTTTTTAATTTAATAATTAAATTATTAAAATTTGATATAAAATATAAGTTATTAAATTTGGAGTAATTTGATTCTCGATATCTCTATATATAATATTTATTCAGGTCAATGTCATATAAAATATAAATTATACTTATGTTTTGATATTTTTAATTTTTTTATACCGTATATTAAGTGTTAAGTAATATCTGATGTTTTACTTAATAGATTTAATCTTAGTTGCAAGTAGGTAAATCGGTGATTTTGATATTTTTCATATTAATAATATTATCATATAATGACTTGTTTTATATCAATTGATGGCTGTCTTTTGCTTTTTTTTTTTTTTTTTGTAATACAAGGCAAAAAACAAAAAAAAAAAGATACAAAGAAACTAAACTCTCCTAAACAAAATACCCGAACTATCTGCTTGAAGCAGAGGCTGCAATCCCACAGGGATGTCGTCAATGATTACTAGCTCGTTTCTACAATTTGGACCCCACTTGGACAAAAAATCAGCGCATTGGTTACCTTCGCGTAAGGAGTGCACCAACGACATCCTCCACTCACGACCCAATAGATCTTTTATCTCTGTGACCAACACCGCATACCTGTGAAAAGGCTCCCTTGATCCCAAAACTAGGTTGATAGCATTGAGGGAATCAGACACGCATATCACGTTCCTAAAGTTTCTTTGCCAAGCGATCATTAATCCCTTCTGAATAGCTCTCAATTCTGCATGAAGATTATCCGTAATTCCCGCATCACCATAGAAACCACATTGCCACCTCCCAGAGTTATCCTTGCATAATCCCCCGTATCATGCTGGACCAGGAGAACCCAACGCACTCCCATCTACGTGAATCACAACTTGGGCCAAACTAGGAAGGAGACAAGGGACCCATTTTTCCTCCTGGTGTACGGCCAATTGACGAAAAGTCCTCAAGATTAGACCATATAAACCCCAAGTACGTGAAGCAATCACATGCGTTGGGATCTTGTTATTTTTAAATAGAAGAGAGTTCCTTGCCAACCAAATTTCTCATAATACCACCAGTCCCAGTACACCATGTACATTATACCAACTTCTTAACCAACCAGATTCCGCCAAAGTGGCTCTCGTCACCGAAACCGTGATACCCATACGAGCCCAAACAGCCATTGCATTATTGCATTCAAAGAACAGGTGATATAAGTCTTCACGACTAGAGTGGCAGTTAAAACAAACCGTATCCGGGCCCACGTGCCTAGCCCATAGCAACTGTTGAGTGGGGATAATGCCATGTGCTAGTTGCCATGCAAAAAACTTCAGCATTTTCGGTGCCTGCAACCTCCAAAGCCAAGTCCAAGACTCCCCTGAGGCGCGACCAGAACAAGCCAACAGCCATCTATATCCCAATTTTGCAGAATAGACACCTGATAGTGAGTCCTTCCACACCACAACGTCAGGTAAAGAGGCGTGTAGAGATACGTGACTCGAGAGTATCTTATCACTTAATGTGGGCGTTATTGGCGTGTAAAGCTGTTGTAAGCACCATTGCCCCTGAACAAAAACATCTTTCACCTTCAACATTACATCTTGATAATGGACATACGGGACAGCTAAGCACAAAGGAGAAGCGTCTAGCCATCTGTCATACCAAAAGGAAACATCACCTCGTCCCAGTTGCAGATGGAAACCTTCCCGAAGAATTCCAAAGGCTTTAGATAAGGAGGACCAGAAAAAAGATCCTTTTGCTTGTAAACACTCCTGAAGCGAGTCACCCGAATACTTGGCTTTAACGAGCTACACCCATAACTTCCCTTCATTATTATAGTACTCCCAAATTAGCTTCCCTAGGAGTGTTGTATTCTGGAGGCGAGCCACGCGGACACTCAAACCACCAAATTTGCGTGGTTGCGTAATGACATCCCAAGTAGCCAAGTGGAGTCCACGTTTCATGTTTCCATTCCAAATAAATTGACGAACCATTTTGTCACAAGTATCACAAATATGTTGGGGGAGCCATTGGACCTGCATGGTGTAAGATGGTAGTGACGCCAATACTAAATTAGCAAGCGTCACACAACCCGCTCTATTCAGGAATTTGCCCTTCCATGAAGCTAGACGATCTCGCACCTTGTTAATCACATGTGAGAACATGTTGTTTGTGATCCTTCCCACAGACAACTGAAAGCCCAAGTAAGGCCCAATATCATTTGAAAAGGCTATATCTGAAACGAGTGATAATTTTTGTCTACGACTAGGTGGGATGCCACTTGTCTTTTGTTTAAATAAACGAGTCAAAGTAATTAATTTTTTTTCATAAATAATGTCCAAATTTTAAGAGCTTGACTCGGCTCGGTTATTATCTATTTTTCATCTATTTTTATTTTTTTTATTTTTTATTCTAAACATCCCTACCCGTGACTCATGTCAATAAAAATATTTGTAACGTAGCCAATTAATAATCAATATTTACGAAAATCGAAAGATTCCAACATCTCGCAAAATGTCATTTTTAGAAGGAAAACTTATATTATAAGAAAGTCACATTGCTCATTTATTAATCCAAAGTTTCCAACAACTCACTAAAGCTAAAAACATGGGTGTATCGAGAAAAAAAGACCTTGATAAAAAACAAAGTAACACTAACAGTGGCCAATTATTAATTACTAATGCAATGTTTTGACCGGAGGGAAGAAAAATAAAGAGAGAAAAAACGACAATAAATTATCAATAATGGTTATGTTTATTTAAATTTAAAAATAAGTCTTTAAAAGATTTAAATAAGTATTTTTTAAAAGATAATTTTTTGAAAAGTAGATAGATATTACTTCTTTAAAAAAAATTATTAATTTAAAAAAGTTAAAGAAAAAACATATTAAAAAATAAATAAAAATACTTTTAGAGGAAAAAAGTTTAAACAGACATATCGAATATATATTTTATTTAGCTCATGAGAGAGTAAAAAAGAACAAAGAAATGTCTAGTTTTATTTTTATTTTTATTTTTATTTTTAATTACAAAATTATTACCATATTTTAATTTTTTTTATCTATTTTCAAATATTTGTATAGCAAATAGGGGAAAAAAAGGTTTTTTTAGGGATTTTATATAATTTAAAAAAAAAATAAATTGAAAATAATAGACAGTTTTGCAATTAAATTTTTTAATACTTTGTAATATTTCATTTTCACTATTTTTTTTAATCAAAATTAATTTAAAAAATTGATTAAATATATTGTACTTTTGGTCTTTTATTTTTATCAATTAGTAAATTGTATCTTCTTCTTTTAAAATATAAATATTTAGTTTCCATAATTTTAAAGTTATAAAATTTTAGTCTTAATGTTATTTTTACATCTATTGAAAGTTAAATTTTAGTGGTGACTTGTAAATTTTTCAAATGTGTTATTTAGTGAAGTAATATTCAAAGATAATATATATATATATATATATATATATAAAGATTTTCATTTTTATTTATTTTAATAGATGATTGATATTTATTTTATTATTAAATTTCATTTGCATTTTTTTTTAATCTTTTATCTCTAAATATTACATCACTAAATGTGACACCCTTCTACTCTAAAAGATTTAGTAAATAAATATAATAAAATTTAAAAAAATAAAATAATCATAATAATTCATTTTATAAAACTTGTAAAAGGGTTCACATCTTTATTTATTATTTAAAATAAAATATAAAAAGTATTGTTTCAAAAGAAATAAGAACAACCTCTTAAATGAATAATGTTATGTTAATAAAACATAGTTGAATAGAAGTTCAACTATTAAAACACTTTTAATTATAAAATCTAAACCTAATGTTACATTATTATAGTAAGGCCCCTTCTTTATAATTCTACTTCTTTAAACCCTTTATCATATATTTTTTATATTCCTACAAATGACATTCAACTAAAATATAAATAATACAAATATTAGGAGTGAGAATATATCTCATCCATAACAACATATATGAAGTATAAGGATAGTGACATACACCATCCTTAAAATAATTACATCATACACATACACTTTCATCGATTCCTCTCATATAATATTAATAACAAGTTAACACATTACATTCTATTTATCACCATCATTCTATCAATCGAAAATACATCATATTCATCAATTAAAACTCATGAAATATATGCTCTTAACTCTAAATGCATGTCGTACTGATTGTCGCCACCCGCCGAAACGGCACGTTGGCATTCGCGACGATGGTTGGACTCTTTTTAGTTTTTTGAAAAGTGGTGGATTGTTAGAACGACTTATTCTCAAACTGAGACCTCATCGGACTAACAATTTTATTAAATGATTCACCAATCCATATTAATCTCAAGCGGGACCCTCTATGGATTAGTGGTTTTCGAAAAGAGGGTTCTTGGAGTCGCCACCAATGTTTTACTCAAAACATTGGAAAAAGATATAAGGCAATTGATTTTATAAATCAACTTCGGCCATTACAACCAGAGTTGGGTAAGGGAGTCGGTTACGTGTGGGGAAGGTGTTAGCACCCCACAACGCCCCTTTCGGGTTCCCTATGACGGATTATTTCATAAATAACAGTGTAAAATTACTAAATTACCCCTATTTATTAGAA